TGTTAAAAAACTGGCTTTCCAAAGTCTCGAATCACATGCCTCTGGGCACTTTAAAAACTGCCTCTTCTGCCTATTTTTAAGACCAGTTTGAAAAAAAATGATAGGCAGAATAGAATAAAGAAACCACCTGTGTGGATTTGATGTAAAAGGCAGGCTATAAAGTTAGCAGCTCTTTGAAAAGGGTTTAGTTCTAGAAAGAATGCATTCTAATCTTCATCACTTCTTTGTTCAGCTTTTTCTACAAGAGAATAAACTGTTGAGAACTGAATGCTATCGTCTCAGTGAATTAGTCTACTTGACACTAATTTTCAATCATGTTAACCTTTCATCCCTGTGAACTATTTATGTATGAGAACTTCCATTCTACTTTAGGAGTACTTTTCTTGGGTGTATCAGGCATCTTCATAAATTATGATAGACTATTTTAATAAATTGTTAGATTCCCCAAAAGTTAAACAAAACCACGAAGGAAAGAAAGCACCACCAATCATTATGTAAAATGTGTAATTTAAAGTGTTTAAAGATTAGATCATTTAATAGTGAATTCAAATGGCATTAAAATGTTCTTTTCCTTGGGTTCACATACTTATAGAAAAATATTGGAGCCGAGGCTGAGGGTAGAAACCAACCCATTAATTATGGAAGGTACAGGAAAACAACAGTCCTACAAAAAATCCTTGTCTGTCCTGCTCTGCCTTTGCATGCCATGGCTCTCCCTCAGAAGTCTGAGCTATGTCCAAACTTGGTGTAGGCTCTGTTCCTGACAATAGCAGGGTTGTATGGAAACTGTCTTCACCACCTAAGTTATGGGGCCTGATACAGTGAATACCATGCAAACTATGGGTCAGCCTGCCCCAAATTATGCCTGTTCATGTGACCCCACCATTATTCCCAGGATCTGTGCCCTTTGCCCTTGATCTCATTTCTACAGGATTTAGACAAGTGTCAGACCCTTGGAATGCTACACAATAGTGACCTTGATTCCCTAACTTTGCTGGGAAAAAAAAGTGAGCTTGAATCTAGTGTTGAAATTATATGAAATGCTTTGTAACTGTGGTAGTCAAATTAGTCTTGATACAAAAGAAGTCCTAGCCCTCTGTCAGAGACATCTGTCTTTCAGTTTGGCATAGGTTTTCTGGTCATGAGGGTAGCTAATGCATTTATAAAAGACTGAATCTTCTTTGTTGTTGTTGCATTTGGTGCATGGGGAAATTCAGGGGATTCTCCTTAGTGTTAACTTTCTCGATATTATTTCTAAAGCTCTATCCTTCCAATTGTCAAAGTAGTACACTTTCAGTAAAAAAACAAAGCAAAACAAAATGTTTCTTGGCAAAAGATACTAGGATAAAGATGGTAGGTGCTTAGTGCTTGATGGATGAACAAGTGGTAAGAGGATGTAATTCGGAACCAAGAGGCACCACCCCATGGCTGGTCCTGAGCCCCTTTGGGGAAAAAGCAGTCTTTAATTACATCTGGAAGTCATTAATTCTTTTTGGAGCCTCTTTCCTGATCAGCTCCCCCATCAGCCTCCCATTGAGCAACAGAAATTCCAGATGGTTCCCTCCATATGCCAGTGCTCATTCTCTCAAGTAGGATAGATTGGTCACTGACAGGATAGAATGGAATAGCCATGGCCAAGACAGGACAAGGTGGAAAGTATTGGACCACAGATAAATTAGAGGAGGTCCGTCATTTATGTTTATTAGGAGGGTTGTATAAATATAACTATTTTTGAGTAATTAAAATATCTTGAGGAATTTCATGGAAATGATGCTACTTCTAAAGAACGTGACATATTGATCCCAACTTTCCACACTTAGAAAAAAGAGAAAGCCTCTGCAAGCTGTCATCATAGCTGAGGATTGGTCAATTTGATTCTGCATCTGATCTGCTCTGGAGGCTACATTAGGGTGAATTCTTTTGCTTGTGTAACTAGCAACTATAGCTGTAATCTTTATTATTGTGATATAAGGAGAATTCCTTTATAAAAAATCTTTACAGGGAATATGTTTATTTTATCTTAGAAGAATTTTGTTAAAATAGGCACATTGATAAACTTTTCAATTCAAAGTAGCTGAGAAAGAAGAGTCAACCTCCGTATAATTAGAATGTATGATCCTTTCAAGCATATTACAGCATATTTATTTATATATCTACTATCATCTGATGGAGGGAAACCTGCCTCACTCATCTTTCAGTTCCCACCATCTGACAAGGTTTGGCATGTCATAGGAAGGAAAGGAAGGTAAAAGGAAAGGTAGAATAGATGGATCCAGAAAATTTGAAAGTGAAAAGTGTGGCACCAAAAAAATAAGAGCAAGGTTTCTACTCTTGTTTTCATCTCCTACTTTTCCTCTGATGGCTACTGGATTTTATTTATGTAAGTGTGTGTGTTGTTTGGTGTTATTTTTGAGCACTTATTATATGCTAAATATTATTCTGGGTCTTGAGAAAAGTGAGAATAGCATCTTTGGTCCTTGCTGGAAATTTGTTGGCATTTTTTTAAAAAAAAACTTTGTACATATTTATGGGGTACAGAGTTGACTATCAGTATTTGTACATAGTGTGTGATGACCAAATCAATATTATTAGCATGTTCATCATTACAAATCACAATTACTGTTTGTGTCCCTTACGCAGTTACTTCACATCCCTCCTCCCCCTCCCCCTTTCCTACCTCCAGTAACTATTTACTGGTATATTTGGAGTGGTTAGGGCAATTAAAATAGAAAAAATTTATTCTAAGAGACAAGAATGTGATAAATATCAAAAGGAAAAATTTAAATTCTTTGTATGTGTCATACTTTAGCTGAGAAGTATATTCAAAAGCACCTACTGTCATTATTTTGTGTGTGTGTGTGTGTGTGTGTGTGAGAGAGAGAGAGACAGAGACAGAGAGAGACAGAGAGAGAGAGAGAACTTTGTGGGTGAGAGAAGGCAGTTACTGAACCAATTTTATTGTTTTGTGCAATCAGGTTCAACAGCTAGACTGGTGGAATAGGCCATAGGTTGGGACACATAAATGCCATTTGTATGGAACTCTTGTTTTTTAAGGTTTTTGCTTTAAATACTGTAATTTTAATATTAAACTTGTGGACCCATACAATGTATGCTAAACCTAAAACATTCTTTAGATATTTTACTCTTTTGTTTGAATTTTTTGAAAAATGTGAGAGATGAGGTTGAGATATTCATTTATTTTTATATGTTTAGCACGATCCTTCATTTTGTACCAGTCACTAATGAACTCTTGAATTTAATGAACTCTTTAATGAAATCTTGACTAAACTCAACAGATCTTGGCAACATTTATTTAGTGTCTTCATCTTCAATATAAAAATAAGCACTACAGATTTTAAAAAATAAATGGTCTCTCCCTTATGGAAGTAGCAGTGGAACAGGAAGATGTCATCACACTGAGGACCAGCCCATGAGAGTTACTGCCTTCTGTGCAATTATGTATGTGTGTGATTTGAATAATATTTTCTGGTGCTCTGATATAAGTATATACAGGGTGTCACTGGGGTATGAAAGAGCGAGGTTGTTTCCCAGGGGGTACAATGAGGGACTGGGAGTGGCTGACTAGCAGAGCCAAGCCTTGCCTTGCATCCTGCTGAATGAGTGGGTGGTGCTGATGCTGCTGGACCACAACTCTGCTTGGAGAATCACTGCTCTACGTCCAACTGGAGGACAAGGGGAGGGACAGTGAGCATGCTGAATTTATGCATCGACCTGGAGACTTCCTACTTCAATTCTGCCTACCTGATATTAGCTACAAGTCAGTCACATGGCTTCATCTAACTGCGAAGGAGGCTGCTGTGGTGGTTTAACTGTGAACCTAGGGGAAAAAAAAGAGAAATGGGTGGTTTACAAATCTATAGTCTCTGCCACAGGAGGGAATGACCAGTCTAGTAACTAGGGAAATAGGCAGGAGATAGGAATGATAACTAAAGACAAGTTAATTTGCTTGAGCAATTCCTTAAAAACAGCAGGTCCCATTGTTTCCTGGAATGAGAAATGAAAAGAACTTCTTAAACACCTTTACATGTGTCAGTGATTATGGTACTCGAAATTTAAGCAGAAACATTTATTTGATGTCTTTAATTCTTACCTCAGAAAGTAACTTTCTATACTTTAGCTACGTGAAGTGTTTACTGTTTTAAATGAGAATGTTTTATTCATGTATTACTCTATTGTTCATTTCAGACAAAATCTATGGTCATTTCTTCTGGTTATAAAGAAACTTTTTATGACAGGAGAGATGAAAAATAATGACTTTAGCTTGTCCAATGAGCTCTATAAGCATGACAAGCTAATGGACAACAGCACAAATAATGATCATATCCTGCATTTATTGAGCATGCACCATGTACTTTGCCCTACACGGTGGGAACTGAGGAATTGCAGATGACTTACTAGGTATTTTATAAGCCCTTTAGATCTATTAACTCATTTGACCCTCACAAAACCTTATGAATAAAGCAGATATTTTCATTATTATCCCCATTTCACAGATGAGATACCTGAAGCACAGAGAGATAAAGTTGTTGGCCTACACAGGCAGTAAGTAGCAGAGCTGGGACTCACACCCAAACAGTCAGTCTTCAGAGGCCAAGGTCATATCTACCATCTGTACTCCTCTGAAACTAGAGCCAGAATGAAGGGATGGGGGTGAAGGGTAGGGCGTGCATTTGATCTGTGTGTTTGCACTGAGACAGGATTGGTGGGGCTGTTTGGGCATAAGCAGTGCCTTTTGGCCATAACACTTGGTGTGTTAAGCAACAGCAGCATTTATTTATCATGGCTTTCCCCTCTGCCTTTTTATTAAGGCCTAGTCCTTGGCAGACTATTTGTTCTTCCAGTTGCTGCACCTGTCTCAGAATAGGTAGCAATGTAAGCAGCTCCTAAATTACCAGGGGAACCTTGGGATGCATCGCTGGAAGAGAGAAGGTGATTCTTGTTTTGGCTACATGTCTGAGCAATTTCTTTTTCTTCTGCAGATAGGACCGTCCTTGTGGATACAGATCTTCCATTCCTGAAAGGCCTCTATGTGATGGGCACTTTAGAATTCCCTGTGAACAGAAGCAATGTTCTGAGTGTGGCATGCATGGTCATTGCAGGCGGGGAGCTGAAAGTCGGTGAGTAAAGGCACAGGACTGGCAGCATAATGGGAATTCAGCTCTGTGGGAAAGGACTCTAGCATGAGACAGCATCATTAAATGGGTGGTTTAATGGAGTTTGGGGAGGACTAATGTGGAGAGTGAGTTTATTAGTAAAGGTATTCTTTGGCGAGCTTTAGATATGGACAGAGGTGATGTTTATTGGTCATCCTCTCATGCCCACCCACTGTCATCAGGCTGTGTTTCCAGCTCCAGGGTCCTCAGGCTGCTGCGCATTCTGGGTTCTTTTTGCCTCCTTCTGGCTACAGATCAGTTCTCCCTTTAGTTCTTTCTAGCAGAATTTGCCTGTGGCTCACTCTTTCCAAAGATATCCTAGGATGGATTTCATATTCTCTGATCATCGAACTCACAATGATATTTCAATTGCTGTCTTAATGTAGTTCCCTGGGAAAACAGACCTGAAAACAAAACTTATTGCTAGCACTTTGCTGGGGTAAATAATCCCAAGCAAGTGGGAATGAAGGTGGCCATAGCTTCTCTAGAAACATGGCTGTGTACTTGGTTTTGCGGGACGCTCTGAGAGAAGCCTGTGGAACCACCACATCTTGGGACAATGTGGGGCAGACGGTGGGGAGGAGAGAAATTCACCTGGTCAATTCTGAAGCTATGAACTGCTCTGTCTTTTTATTTGTTTGTTTTCATGGCTCCCAGGGCAGCTAGTGGAGGAGCCAGGGATTTAGTAGGTGCTAGGAGATGATACTCTTCCAGCTTGGAAGTGAGGCCCCAGGACAGGCAAGACAGAGTGAATCAGAGGTAGAGCCTTAACCAGAGCTGGGGCATTGGCTGACTTAAATAAAAATCATGAATTGTTATGGGGAGATAATGTACTTGGAACTGTTGTAGGCAATAAGTATAAATGCTAAAAAGACATGCACCCTGTTCCCAAAGGAACTCTTTTTGAACATAGTAAATACATTCTACTTTGTCCTCCAAAAGAAGATTAAAAGAGAATACCCATGAACAGAGAAATAAATCTTTATCCCAAAGAATTAAATCTCTGGTGGTAAGGAAATATTTAGATATCACTGCTGGGTAGCATCCACATTTTAGCCTCTTGTGGGAGAGAATTCCAGGCATAACTACTTGTACAAAGCTTAAATCACTGTAAGAAGATTTCTGAAAAATTATGGTTAACCTTTTCTTTAATATTTCTACTAACAGAAAAATCAAAACTTTTCAAGGTAACTTGTTCCCCTTGTTTAAAATCTTATTAGAATTCTTTTGTGCTGTTAAACCACCATCTGTCTTCCTCTACTTTCTGTAGGTTCAGGTTCTTCCACCTGAGCCTTTTAAGATGAGTATCAAGCCCTCTTCCTTCTCTGTCCCTTCATCCACATTTTCCTGAGTTGTCTCTTTTTTAGGTTATGAAGTTTCTATTATTTTAACCATGGTTCATAGTTATTGCTGTTTTAAAATTATATTTTTTCAGTCTATTGGATGAAACTGAAAATGCAGAAAACAGATAGAAAGTTATTCAGAAATATTCCCAAATGCAAATATTCATATAACCATAATTAATACTTTGGTGTTTTGTCTCAAAATCATCTTTTTCCTATACATACACACATACACACACATATTCACTTTAAAACATAGGGTATACAGTTTGATCATCTTTTTGATCCTATATTATCATGGTAAAAATTTCCCCAACTCATATTTCAAGGGTACAAATTTAATACTTTTAATATTATATAATATATATGTAAATATATCCGTATATATGCATATATAATAATTTAGACATTTTTCTATTGTTAAACATCTACGTTATTTCAGAATTTGTTTTTATAACTTACTGTACAATGAACATCCTAGTAATTAAATCATTATTCATATCTTTATGTCCTTAAGGTAGACTTTTGTATGTGAAATTAATAGGACTAAGGATAAGAGATTTTTTTAAGGTTCTTGATATACATTGCCAAATTACTTCTCAGAAAGATTTTGCAAATTTGCACGTGCTCCACATTTCTCAGTGTGGTGAGATCCCCTCACTCTTCCTGGCACTGCCTCTACACACGTCTTTGCTTTGTTTAATTCCTCTAAATGTTTGAAGCCAAAGTGAAAGAACTATTCCCGGCTGGGACCTGAGCTATTCTGAATAGAGTGAGATGAGTATAGCATTAACGGGTTGGGCTCTAAGTAAGATAGCTTGGGACCAAATCCACCTTGGCTACCTACCTGCTGCTTGACCTTAAGCAAGTCAGCATTTGGACAACTCCATTTCTTAATCTGCAACATATGTAGGGTAACAGTAAAACCTACCTCACAGGGATGTTGAAATCATTAAATGCAAAAGCTCATACTAAGTGCTTGGTATACTGTAGGTGTTTATTAAATGTTAGTTATTGGTCAGGGTGCCCACATGAAATAGATGTTGTAGAAATTAGATTGTTTGAGGATATTTAAATAAAGTAATTATTTACAAAAGCTCAAATGAGATAAGGCATACCCCCAGGTTAGTAAAGCAGAGTATCCTTACTACCCCTTGCCATAAAGGAGAGAAAAAAGGAAGCCATTATTGGAATCCAGAGATGAAGAGGGATGTGTGGAAATGGTTGCCAGACAGAGGCACGGACTTTTTATGGCTGTGACTCTATCAATCAGTATAAAGAGGGACCTATGGCAATGAATACTCTGACATCATTCTTGTCTCATGCTTTTGCTACCATTTGGTCAAACTCAACTGGAAGTCAGAGTAAATAAGAACTCATCAATGCAGTACCTATAGGTCAGCAGCTTCCTGGGGCACTGAGCAGGGTAGAGAGGGGCAGAGTTTTGGGAATTTCAACAGAATCTCTCCACAGCAGTTTCTGGCTGCCCTAAGAGATGCAATTCTTCTATTAATACAGGCAATGATTAAATTAATTTCTTTTTCCAGCTTTGTCATGCTGTCTGTCTGGCCAACTATGTTGTCAACTCTAAATCCTACTCCTTTTATATGTGCTACTGCTAATATGAGTACATATCTGTCCAATGTACACTTGTCTAGGGCTTATTTTGTTTTCCCTTGGGTTTTAGTAAAATCTAAGTGCAATACTTTTACTTATCTCCTTAATTTCAGTTCATCTTTCCACACTGGGAAGTCCTTTAGGATTCTGATCTTTTTCTCCCATATTACTACCATTTGCCCATTTAAAAATATTCTATAAAATTTTCATGTAATTAACTGATGACAACATTAAATAAAAATGAGCCCTGCTCTTGTTACTAGAAAACTTATTTAAGGTAAGTTATTTTTTGGTTTCTGAGGTCACTTACTACTATAATACATAGAGCTTGCTGCCTGAAACGATGTGCCTTTGAAGGGATGTGTGCCACTTTTCAGTTTTATTTTATGCATTTCGATATCATTTTTAAATTTCTCCATTCCCAGCTATATTTTTACCCGTCACCAAATAATGGTGAATTCTTTTTCTCCCTGCTTCGTTCATGTGTTCTAGGCCTAAAGATTTCTTATTGGAACCCATCTGCCCAATCCTATGTGAATTATGCCTGAAGGAAGACTTTCAACCCATCTGTCTAATTTTACCACACCCTAAAGAAATCCCAACATGAAATAGATAATAAGACTAGTTAGTAAATGAACTTAATAGATGTGGACATTGGCACAGAGTGCTGCCAGAGTATGTCTGCTATCTGATGCCATTTGATCCAAGTCCCAACATTGTGGAATTATATGGTCCTGCTTTTAAGGCAACTGGTGTTGGCAAGGGTATCAATTGACTTTTAGTAGAGTAGAATCATAGAATGCTAGGATTGGAAAGGAAGTTCAAGATCAAAGCTTTGCTTAGAGGGGTACAGCTGCATCACAAATGCCAAACTCAATTTCATTCTTTGTTCAGTGCTTGTCTAATTACTCTGATAAAACAGTTGAGATAAGCTTAAAGCATTTTACTTATGTGTCCGTTCTTTCATTCATTATGTGCTTACTCAGTGCCTAACGTGCCAAGTACTATAGGAAATACTAGATGCACAGAAATAGCAATCACGAATCCTACATTATCGAGCAGTGTCTCAATAAAATAGTGGAGACAAATAAGTAAAAGCATAATTGGAAGGGTCTTATCTTTCAACCTGAAGGGGTCTTGAAGATAAAGGAAAATATCTGAAAAGGCACATATTTATGGCTGAGCTTACACTTTCAAGAAATTGCAGGGAATGAGTGTGTCTGGACTGTAGGATTTGTATGAAATGGTGGTAGCAGATGAAGCTTCTTGGTTTTATATACTATGCTAAGGAGTTTAAATTTTATTATGAAGGCAGTGGGTGGCCACTGAATAGTTTTAAGCAGAGAAGTGACATGATTAGGTTTGGTCTTGGAAAGCTTACTCCCAGCTGGGTGAGGATGGTTTTGGAAGGGGAGTAGTGAAAATTGAGAAGGCTACTGAGGTGTTTCAGGTAAGAAATTGTAAGGGATTGAATCAAGCTACTGGAGTTAAAGAGGAAAGAATGAATGAGAGAAATATCAAGGAGATAAAAATCCCTATAACCTAGTAACTGTTTTCATGTGAAGTGAGGAGGAATCACTTATGATACATCCTAGGCTTCAGGTTGGGGGATCTGGGTCAATGGGCGTGCCAAGAATGAATCCCCTTTCCACCACTTGTTAGTTGAGTGACCCTGGACAAGTTGCATGAGCTAGCTCTGTCTCAGTTCCCTTATCTCTAAAATGGGAATAATAATAATTCATAGTTTTATAAAAGTTGAATGAGGTAATATTTATTAAAGTGCTTGAACAGTGTTGGGAACATAGTAAGTCCTACACAGTAATTTGTTAAATACATAGACTCATGAATCTTAAGTTTAGATTTCAATGGAATGTGCAAGTGGTAACATTTAGAGGGTGAATAGATTTATAAAAAAGGAACCCACGAGAGAGATCTGTGCTAAATATGTGTATTTGGGGTGTCATCAGCTCAAATGTGGAATCAAAGGTGTGAATAAAATTGATC